CTGAAGCAGGAGAACCTATACCATCTCAGACAAGTGACTGTCTAGTCTCTTCTTGAAGACCTCCAGTGATGGGGAGCCCACGATTTCTGAAGGCAAACTGTTCCACTGGTTAATTGTTCTATCAGGAAATGTCTCCTTAGTTCTAGGTTGCTTCTCTCCTTGATAAGTTTCCACCTGTTGCTTCTTGTCCTGCCTTCAGGTACTTTGGAGAATAAGTTGATGCCCTCTTCGTTATGGCAGCACCTCAAATGCTGGAATACTGCTCTCACATCACCCATTTCTTTTCTCCAGACTAGCCAAAACCAAATCCTGCAGCTGTTCATATGTTTTAGTCTCTAGGCCTTTGATCATCTTAGTTGCTCTTTTCTGAAGTTTTTCCAAAGTCTCAACATCTTTGCAAACAGCTCAGCAGGAGCAATGGGGGTCCAGCCCAGGAAGGCAAACACCCCAGAAGCTCACAGCTCCCGGTCCTGAGGGGCCGAAAGTCTTCAGGATGTGACCAGGACTATTTCTAGCAGTGCGACTCACGCAAGGTCAATGGACAGGCCCCCAGCCACCAAGTGCACGGCCTGCCCTCTGAGCAACTTTTAAAGTCCGGCTTTCACCATACAGGTAGTGCTCGGTTTACAACCATTCAAAGTTACAACGCCACCGCAAAATGGGACACGGCCATGGCAGCATCCCTGGGGTCGCGCGATCCCCCGTTGCCACTTTCTGACCAGCTAAGTCAATGGGGAAGCCAGATTCATTTAACGACTGTTTTGCTAACTTAATGACAATGATTCACTTAACAACTGTGGCAAAAAAGCTTGTCGGATGGGGCAAAACTCACTTAACAGCCGTGTCTCTTAGCAAGAGAAATTCTGGGCTCAGTTGTGGTCATAAGCCGAGGACTACCTGTATGGCCAAGCGGACAAGAGGAGTCCAGGAGACAAAATGCAGGTCAAACAGGAACAAGGTTCCCTCAGGCGCTGTTGCAGCACGGCTGGATATTGGGCCAGGCTGGCTGTTAGGCGATGACCAGGGAGAGCCGGGTTCAAGTCCACTATCAGCCACAGCAGCTAGCGGGGTGACCGTGGGCCAGTCGGGCTCTCTCAGCCCAACCAAACTCACCAGGTTAGTTGATACTGTGACAGAAAAGTGTGTGTGTGCGTAGTCCCAAAAAGGAAGAATACACAACTAACAAGTATAAAAAAAAAGCAGTCATCAAATCACTTCGTACAGTTTGAACTACAGGCGGGACAGCCACACAACCTCTTTTCTTAGGGGGGAAAAAAAGGTTTTCTTATTTTCTTCTCAGGAGGAGCAGGAAGAAAGAAAGGAAACGTCCCTACCTGTAATCAGCCGCAATTCTTCTTCAGTGAGTTCTGCTTCTCCCAACTCCTGCTCACTCTTGCTCATGCAAATTAGGTGGTGGGCCTCCAGGTACGTGTCGGAGAGAAGGCCCTGGGGCACAGCAAGCCACACACTCAGCTCGCTCAGAGCCTGGACCCCCTGCCCTGCCCTGCCCCCGCCCCTGCCCGAACTCCCCACCTGCAAGAGCTGCCGGAAGCCCGTCTGCCGCACAGGAAGGAAGATGCCGGTGATGCTGACGTGGTCGCCTGGCTGCACGAGACGCGTGTTCTCACCTTGCACACTGACACTGATGGAGCGCGGCAAGTTCCCCACTGGCACCTGGTCACTCTGTAAGCAATAAAGGCAACCCCGCAAAAAAATGTAAGCCCCCCTAGAGTGGGCATGACCTACAACTTGGATGGCATGCCTTTCTGTGGTACAGGAAGAATAAAATACAGACACTTTCAAAACCATTTTATAAAAAATGCACTTCTATGGGAAAAAATAAAAGTGAAAATCTATATTAAATTACCTGGATGGCTTTCAACAATGGAAGCATTGGCTTACCCACATTTAATTAACCACAAGAAAGTTGTGACCTATAAAGATATTTTGGACAATGAAGGGAAACTGAAAAACAGACAAGGTTTACAAGAACAAGGTATTAATTTATCACGGTGGCCATAGTTGCAAATTCAAATGAGATATGAAAAAGATGCTAAAACAATGGGACTTTATAAAGGACAGAACTTGACCAGATACTGTTGAAAACAGAAGAAAAATTAAGAAACTCTATAAATATGTGTTAAAAATGGAAGAGGAACAAGTAAAAGAAGCAATGATAATGTGGGCAAAGAACTTTGGACATAATATAGAATGTGACTTCGTCGAAACGTCGCCAAGACACTTCTAATTCTACGCGGGAGAAAACCCGAACAACTATCTCAAACACTAAAACTACAACTAGTAAACCTTGAGAAAGACCGAACACGAGTTAACAGCGGGAGGCGCCCTGGAAAGTAACACTGTGTAAAGATACCCGTGGAACCCGTGATTTCTACGTGACGGGGAGTACAGGCGGGTCTTAACAATTGTGGATTTATGTTTCGTAGGGGTGGTTGCAAAATTTACATTAAACCATTTGCTGCTGTCTTGGGGTCTCATGCCAGGGACCTCAGGAGCACAGAAGACCTTTGGGCCCAGTGGGACAACAGGACAGGCTTTGGCGGGAGATGTTGACCACCCCAGTGGATATGGAGACCTGAGCATAGGATGTATGATTCTGAGCACCCCATCCCCCCAAAGGCCTGTTGCCAGGTGGGGGACAGCTCGAGAGGACAACAAGGCGAAGGGTGAGGAAGGATATTGGTGTCCCCATCTGTAGTTGCCCTTGAGGCACAACCCAGCAAAAGGCCCAGAAGGTACCTTCACCCAGCCTGAGCAGAGATGCTCAGGATCAACTCACTATAGTATCTACTCTTCCACCCTTAGTTTCACTACCATTTTAGGAAATTCCAGGATATCTGGGAGCACAAAAGGCTCCATATAAGAGAATAGGATGTATGTATGCACTGATAAAAGGAAAATAAATCAGTGATTTTTAACTAAAGAAACCAACTGGTTAAATTCTAAGAAGGAGTATTTGCCCGATACTCCTCAGATGAACGCCTCAGATCAGTCACTCACATCCGGACTTAATCAGCATAAGGCTTTGCAACAATTTGGTTGATGGGACACCCACTTCCACTGCATCAGGCAATACACAGCTTTGATGCATGAACTGCAGCAAACAAGGTGCAAGGACTCAGCAATCAAGTGAGACAAACGCTAAGAACGACGACATTCCCATCGATGTCAGCTGTTACCTTTTCCGTTGCCATCGCAGTAAATGAAAAGCCAAGACAGGAGCAGCCCAGAAATCCACCAGACCAGATTTTCAAACCTCTCCAAACTCACATGCTCCTGTATTTTCAGCTCCTGATATTTGATGAACTTGGACCCTCTGCTCTGCAGGTAGAGGCGGCCGCCAGCTCGGTTGGTCTGGCACTCGCGGCTAGGGCACATCAGCAGAGGCATGAAGCTGGAGGACTGGATCTGGGGGGGGGGAGAAGTGCAAAGAGATAGGAGGGGGGCCAGGCAGAGGGAACCCGGGGGGGGGGGGCGGGGATCCCGCCAGGCCTCCTACTCACCGGTTGGTAGGTCTCCGCACCGCACTGGTCGCAGCTGTAGGTGGCCACCACCATGCGGGGCTTCACTTCGGAGACTCGGGTGACGATGCCCCGGACCGTGACCAGCTTCCCGATGGCCTCCGCCTTCACCTCCCGGATCACCCGAGGCTTGGCGCTCGAGGGCGCCTTGAAGTACAGCTCGCTGCGGGACCAAGCACGGCACCAGGGGGCGGCTGTGGCTGGCGCCGGGCAGAAAGCTCCCCCCCCGCACGCCCCCCCTTTGCGGGAGTGCCCCGTCCAACCTGCCCCTCCCCTCCCCCCCCTCCCGGGGAAGCGGCCGCCACTCACAACCGGCGCAGCAGCTCCGCCGGGAAGCGGTTCTGCGGGTCGCGGGCCTGCCCGGGGTCCTCCCGCGCCCGGCCCTCCATCAGCAGCCGGTGCTCCAGATAGACGTCCAGCCCGTCCCGCGGCGCCACCTGCGGAAAGAGGCAGAGAGGCTGAGCGGGGGGGAGCGCCGTCGAGGCCGGACCCCTCCCCTCCCCCCCTCCCCTCCCCCGGGGCTGACCTGGCGGCGGCGGAAGCGCGGCAGGAGCTCCCAGACGGCGTCGGCGAAGAGGCGCTGGTAGCGCTTGGCGTTCTCGCAGGCGGCGTCCAGCAGCGCCGGGTCCTCCTCGGCCACGTCGTCCAGGTCCACGTAGAGGGCCGCCTGCTCGCGGTGCGCCAGCCGCTCCTGCGGGGACCCGGCCCGGGA